ATTAAGATGTTGTTTACTCCACTGAGGTATCGTTTCTCTCCACAATTTTTATGGCCCAACCCCAGCTCAAACAGTGTGTGTACTGGAGCAGGATCTGCATTGGCTGATTCTAACAGAGGATCAAAAATCTCTTTCCTACACTCATTAAACTGATGCCTGAGGGTGTCTAGAAAAATTTTTTTCCTAACTCCCGTGTCGTAATAAGATGGAAAATCATCCGTGTCAAAATTGCAGGAAAATGCAATACATCATAGAAGCCTTTCTGGACAGGTCACTATCAAATTTCACTTGGACTGGAAGGTAGTGTCAAACACATAGAAAATGCTAAGACAAATCAGGTGATGCCGGCAGTCTTTTCCTTTCTTTGCAGTAAACTTCTCCCCTGCAGTGCACAGAGTCAGGCTAATTACACTTCCATAGGGAGCATCTGTGTATCTATCTAGCAGCTCCAGTGTCTACATTTCAGCTTGAAACAATTTAAACTGCTTGAAAACTTTACAGTCCTGGAAAAAAATAGAAGCATGGAAAAGCTTCAGGTAGGCAAATAATAAGAGCATTACGAAAAGCTACTAGTGTATCTTACTAGTGGATCTAATTTTTCTGACTGCACAAAGGCAATATCATGATTACAATAAACACTAAGCAGCTTGTGTAAATGTTTCAGGTGTCATGTAACTGATGCCAATAAGCTTCATTCAGCTAATAAAACATGTAAGCTCTTCATTCTGCCACTTTACTGACCTTGAGATTATCCTATAAGAGATATTTATAAAGAAAACAATTGTGTATCATAGGCATGGATGATGTGATGTACGCACCATTGAGAATGCACTCAGAGGAAAAATCCTGTTTAGATGAAGGGTATTCTTGTATGTGAAGTGGAATTCCAGCTCCTACTTAATTTTTGATGTTATTTAACCAAGTTCCAACGACCCAATCCAAGGCTTGGCCAAAGAGAGGAAAATTAGTTTGTAAACCTCAGTGAAATTAAGTGACCTTTTCAGTTACCCAGTCACAACCATTTTTAGTCCAACACTCAGTGTCATTCCCAGCAGGCAGAGCTAAAACCTCTTAATCAGGTGCGTTTTCTCCAGATGTACTCTCAGAGATGCCAACACAACATAGCAGGATTCAAACCAATTCATGTGCAAGAGGGGGACAGGGAAATTGTGTCCCCTTCATGGTATTGGCTACAGGGCAGTCCATCAAAGATCATCCTGCCTGCTTTTCCACTCTGGAGTACTAGACATGCTAAAGGACTAGTGGTGGTTTTCCAAGGCAGATTTTAATAAACTCACACTGCAAGTATTTACAGAAACATGAAAATCAGTTAACAGTCAGCTTTCTTCAGAAGGTACTGTGGTGGGTTTGTGCAGCCAGGTTTTGGTATCAGCAAAGGACACAAGGTTGTCTTCTGTGAGAAATTCTGTATCCAGTAGAGCCAATCCCTGGCAGCTTCCAAGACAAATGTGCAACTGGCCAAGGCTGGGTCAATTAGAAATGGTGGTAATACTTCTGGAATAACATATTTAATGGAAAAAGAAGTTATTGTGCAGACGTAAGTGCAGCCAGAGAAGAGCAGAGTGAGAATATATAACAACCCTGTAGACACCAAGGTCAGTGCAGAAAGAGAGGGAGGAGTTGCTTCAAGAAACAGAGGTGAGATTCCAATACAGCCCCTGGTGTAGCCCATGGTGAGGCAGCTGTGCCCCTCAGCCCATGGAGGTCCATGGGGATGCTGAGATCCACCTGCAGCCCATGGAGGAGACATACATCAGGGCAGGCGGATGCCTGAGAGGAGGCTGTGAACCCTTAGGAGGTCCTTGCTGGAGCAGGCTCCTGGCAGGCCTGTGGAGAGAGCAGCTCAGACTGGAGCAGGTTTTCTGGTGGGATCTGTGACCTGTGGCCTGTCCTTGCAAGACTGCACCATGTGACCTAGTTTGGAGCAATTTGTGGAGGACAGTTTCCCATGAAAGGGACTCACATTGGAGAAGTTTGTGGAGAACTCTCTCCTGTGGTATGGACCTCACTCTGGGGCAGGGGAAGGACTACTCTCCCTGAACAGGGACACAAATATGTGGTTAACTGACTGTAACTCCCATTCCCCATCTCCCCATGCTGCTGGAGGGAAGGAAGTAGAGTTCACGAAGAAGGGAGGAGTAGGGGAAAGGTGGTTTTAAGATTTGCTTTACTTCTCATTATCCTGCTCTGATTTTGTGAGTAATAAATTCAATTAATATCTGCTATTCAAGTTTGTTTTACCTGTGACGCTATTTGGTGAGTAATCTCTCCCAGTCTTCACCTCAGCTCATGAACCTTCATTATGTTTTGTCTCCCCTGTCCTTTTGTGAAGGAGAGTGATAGAGAGGTTTTAATGGGTGTCTGGAATCCATACAGGGTCCAGCCACTACAGAAAGACACCTAAACTAGTCAGACTCCTACTTTCCATCTAAGTAATCAGCTCCATTCTAGAATTTGTGAAGCTTGAAGAGGGCAGCTAAAATTCCTGTGACCTGTGCTGCTCCTGGACCAATGAGGACATAGTTCAGTAGTGACAGAAATCCCTCTCCACAACTTTCTAGCTGCCATTGCATCAATCCAGGACAAGAAGGATGTGAATACCAGGTGCACAGTGAATACCAAAGGAAGTTACCCCAACAACATGGTACAGTATCTGCTTAAAATCTTACCTCTCCTGATTTTATTTCCTCTAGCATCGAAGAGAAAAGAAACATGAGATGTTTACTTAATTGGCAAGATTCTGTGAAATGTCTTTTCCTTTCACCTCCTCTCCTTTAGCATCAGGTCTAAGAATACCCATAGAGTGAAGGGTCCAGGGTGACAAAACACAGACTAAATGTACCAGGATTACTTGTGCAAGAGTAAGAGCTGACTGCTACTTTTATTTCCAACTCTCCCACACATGAACAACAGCACACAGTCAGAGCACTAAGACAGGATTTGATTCCTGCAGATAAGTAACACCTCAAGTGCCCCAAAGGTCTACATTCCAACCATTATTTTGCAGATTCTTCTGTGGTCTCTGCAAACACATTAAGCAGATGCTTACTAGAATTTTTGCATACTAGAGATGAGAGCTGTTATCCAAGAAGTTTTTGGTAAGCAGCTGTGAGATATGCTTATGAAGTAAAAAATGGGCTGAGGTGTACAAACAGCCTGAATAATTTTCGGGTTATATATAAAAGCTGCCCTGCTTTTGAGAGTGAACCATGTTTTTCCAGTCACTTGTCACCTGAACTTTTTTCACATATGGGTGGCCCAGCAAAGTACTAGTTCTGTCCAGGATTTCTGGATGTACCATTTGTCTTTCGCAAGAGGTCACTGTGAATGCACAGATGAAATGTTCATTGTAAATACAATCAGCAAGTATAATAAACAATGTACCTAATCTACTGCAGATGACCGGAGCACATGCAATGTCTCGTCACATTTTGACTGTCCTTTACTCAGGGCATCTAACCTGGACAAATGTCAATGCTTCTAGAGAATATCTGACCAGAAACACATGGTCTGGTCTGATGAAGCCGGCACACCGCAGTTCCCCCTTGAAATTTGATCTTTGCAAGTGTTTATGGAAGGTATTGACTACATTATGGCATTAGAAATGAAACAAACCCTCAAATTCATTGCAAATTTAGCAAGATGTGTCTAGCAAAAAGGAAACATTACTCAAGCTCTGAGTCACATGGCAAGGAAGCAGCTCTGCTGCTCTGCAGCACCATGGTGGTTAGCACCACTTCCCTATCAAGCTTGGGCTTCAACTTCTGTTTATAATACCATATTATTTTAATATTCACCCAGCAGATTGTACTTGTTTGTGATGTCTAAAGCCAGCCAGAATCTGAGCTATTTTTCCAAAAATAGAGCAATCAGTTTTACCTATGATATGTTGTTGTATTCTTTTTTCAATGCCTCATAAGTATAATGGTCCTAAAACTCTGAGACCACATTACCATTGTTATCACATGTGTGGAGGGAAAAGTTGATTTCTGTGTTCTCATGTGATATGAGGTGGAATTGGACACACTGGAGAAAGCTAACAGGTACTGTTTCTTAGGAATTAAATGTATTAACCAGGTCTTTGAAATAACTGAAATTTTCCTTTACAGAGAAGCGCTGTAGATCCTAGGTTTTGCACAGGTTTTTTGTTCTGTAAAGGAAACTGCAGAAAAAGTAAAAAAGTAAATATGAATTACAGAAACCATCCATCTAATGGCTGTTGCTTTTGCTACTTGGGATCTGAAAAATTGCAACAAAGAAAGGTAAGGTTAAAATAATCAGCAGTTGTATAAGAACTGCTTAAGCCAGAATCACATATGGTACATTAGCAATGTAGATGGATTTAATGAAAACTGAGATAAGTGCATGCATCTGTCATCAGCTAAACCTACAAAACGTTTTCCTCAGAAAATGAAATATAATGATATATGCATTCATCTGTAATAGACTTATAACAACTCTAAATGGCAAAAGTAGTGCTGCTTTAATGCATTTCGTGAGCTAACGCTAAACACACAGACAATTCCTATGACAATTGCCTTGAAGAGAACAAATTTTGTGTTAGGTCATAATCAAGCACACATCCGTAGGTTAAACAACACCAAGGTAGCGCATACTTCTGTAAGTCACCCTGTAATGCAAAACCGAGTGTGATTTGTCACACCATTTCAGCTCCATTACAGCTAAGACGGTAGTGTGGAATTTTTCAAGCTTCATAGGAAGATTATTAAAATGGATAACACTAGCAAGCATTTTAAAGAAAATTCTCATCACTTGCCAAGTCATGCTCTTTGAGGTATCTGCCAGTGTGGGAGGGATGCATGGTCTCAAGGGGGCCTGTGTTTCACGGTCATCTCAGGCAGGGGGCTGCAAAGTTCATTAAATGATCTTATCTCGCTGTTGGTTCTGTTCAAAATAGCCTTGATATGATGAAGGATTTATGTTACCCACACTTCAAATAAAAAGTACCGAGGGATGCATTTCATTACTGCCCTGTGACACTGGAGAGGCCACAGCTGCAGTGATAATATTCCTCATTTGTGTCACACAGAGAATTTATTTGCAAGAAGAGTCCTGCTCCAAAGGTAAGACAGTATTTGTTTTTTGTAGTGAGTTTTCCCTAATAATGTCAACAAGAAATGTGCTTGTCCTCTAACTTTAATTGTCACAAACGTATATTCTAGGAAAGATGAGAGTGTGAGGAAAATGCCAGGGAAGAGTGCCCAGTTTAGCAGAATTCTAAGGAAGCTGAGTAGCATTGATACAGAAAAAAATATTTATAGATAATTTCCATGTCACAATCCTGAATAAAACACCAAGACATATGGCTGTACATTCTCAACTGATGGGCTAATGCTAGCCAAGGTTACACACACACACACACACACACACACACACACTCTCTCACTCATCTCTCAAAGGCTTTTTAACTGTGATCTGTTGCCTTGAGGCATTTTGATTCAATGGTAGACACCTTCTCATGAATGAGGAAAGGTTTGTCTTGCATGTTTTCTCTGAACTGGATGATCTAATAAAGGACATGAGCTCTGGGCAAAATTTATCTTCTTTGATCCTACACTGAGTCTTCCTGTACTCAAAAATCAAACAACAAAGCAAAGTGCATTCAAGATCCTTGACCAATAATTATTAATTTATCCTATATGCTTGATATTATGAATTCAGTAGTTCATAGGAGCAGGCTTCAAATGTATCCAGCAGTGGGGAAAATCTAATGATCAGAAAAAACATTTGATCTCATGAGCAAACTACGGCCACTTTAAATATGCCTTAGACACTGAAAATTAAAAGTCAATAAGAGTAAAATGAATATATAGAAAGCTCAGGAAAGGCACCTGGACATTTATTTATTGCATATCACTTCTGAATACCTGTTTGCTTATTGCTGACCTCTATGCAACTGCCACCACAGCTCTGTTTGTGTGTGCTGGTGGCAGGATGTATGAGAATGCAGGCAGCCACCACAGAGAGCTAGATGCAGGGAGTAGAAAAACCTGGGTAGTAGAGGGGTGAAGAAAAGATTATCCAGGGATCATTTAGTAATACCTGCATGAGTGCAATTTCGGGTATCACAATGTGAAAAAGACATTAAACTATTAAAGAGCATCCAAAGGAGGGCAACAAGGATGGTGAACGGTCTGAAGGAGAAACCTTATGAGAAGCAGCTGAGGTCACCTCATTTGTTAGGTCTGGAGGAGACTGAGAATAGAACTCATTGCAGTTACAACTTCCTCATGAGTGGAGAAGGAGGGACAGACACTTATCTCTTCACGCTTGTGACCAGTGACAGGACACAAGAGAATGGTATGAAGCTGTGCCAGGAGAAGTTTAAACTGGATATCAGGAAAAGGTTCTTCATACAGAGGGTGTCTGGGGACTGGAACAGGATCCCCAGGGAAGTGGTCATAGCACCAGCCTGACAGAGTTCAAGAATTGGGACAGTCTTCTCAGGCAAGTGATATGACTCCTGGAGTTGGTGCAGTGCAGGGCTGGGAGTCGGACTTGTGATCCTTGTGCGTCCCTTCCAACTCAACTTACTCTATCATTCTATCAAATGCAGCTCCAGCAAGAATGGAAAGAGATTTTCCAGATGGAACAACAGAGGTGAGGAAACCAGCCAGAAAGGTGTTTGAAAGCACAGGTCTAAATCAGTCAGGTTACGTAGGAAGGCTGGCATGGGAGGTGAAGAGGATGTGATGAGAAACTCAATAGACATGATGCCAGAGAAGGGAAAATCAAAGGGACCTTTCATGGAATCAAGAAGAGACAGTGCAGAAAGGAATGCAGCAAGTAGCAAAATATAAAAAACCAGACATGGGAGCAGAACTAGGATAGTTATAAATGAATGGGTAACCTAGAGGAAAATGAAAATATTGATTCCTCAAATGTTTTGTTCAAAAGCTTTTAAGAATTTTAGTCTTCAGCCAGAGGACTGCTGAGCCCTCTAGTACAGAAAATCAAGGCACAGAATCAGTTCCCTCCAGTTTGATAATTCCATCGTTCAGGTGTCTGATATCCAGAGAAAAGTGAAAGCAGATGAAAAGAACTGAAGCCCATTAGATGAGAAGGACAGAATAAAACATAGTGCATGATATTCAAAGGCATTGATATTGATGCCGTAGCAGTATGAGATGCAAAACCCACATAGCTACCACAAGCCTTGTCTTAATATGTTTGTTTGTCAAAATTTTCTGCAATTGCAAAGCATTTGAATAATAACTATTCTCCTTATTAGAAAAAATAGGCTCAGATCCATCACTTCTCACAGAACAGCAATAAAGGATTGTAGGAATTAGGAGAAAGGATAATGGTTGAATAGAGATTGCTATACAGTGCTTCAGTGAAAACATTTTCAAATATTAAAACTGTTTAATGTACCTGTTAGAAATAATTTGCTAAATGCAGACCTGCAACTCCTACTTGTATTGCGCAGTCATCTGTCAGTATGGTTGTCATTTTCATACACAGAAAATTCCCAATATGTGGAGAAATCCAATTAAATTGATTGAAATTTATACCCAGAGAATAACTCCCTGACTGAACACACTCTGGTAAGAGCATGTATTTCAAACTCTGCCAAACTACGTAATACTGGTGACAGAATAAATACCTTACCTACAATTCCCTCATTTCATAGCAAACTCCAGACAATACTGTTTGCAAAGGAAAAGCACAGATTGGTAGTAATGCCGAACTGCAAATGAAAATAAAATCCTACAGTACACATGGAAAGTCACACATCTTTGCTGGTGAGATACACTAGTGAAATTTTGGAAGACACTGGGACAGTTAAGGACTTGTATGCACCAGAAGACCATAGCAGCCTTCCCCATTCTCAGGCTGGTTCTCCAGATTCATCTTCTCCCATAACTGCTCATAAACAAGGCAGAAAGGAAGAGGAAGCTGTGAGAGCAAGCTGTGAGAAACCTCTCCCACAAGTTGCTCATGAGTGCACTCATGAGAGAAACTGCACTGTGCAACATGCCACACAAACCAAAGTGTACAGGGCATTAAACTAAAGTGCTCTCTTCTGCCTCTGAAGTTTTAACCAGAGTCTGGAGACCAAAGTTAGACTTGAAACCAGCATGCTTCCCTAGGCAGGATCTCAAAGGAAGCATCAATCAGCCTTTTGAGATGTGAATTACTGCCAGCTACAGAAGTATAAGATAAATGACATATCCTAGATCCCAAGGAAAAAGAGGGGAATCATGAATATGATTACTAGTCCTCTTTTCCAAAATCAAAAAAGATTTCTGATGGGTTTTACATCAAACAGTGTCATTAGCATAGATAATATTGTCTCTTACATGTATAATTCAATTTTTACAATTCAATTAATATATAATAACCATAGTCACAAAGCATGATCCAACTAAAGTCAGAACAATAAAATATTGTATTATTTCTAAAGAAATGCATGAGACCCTGAAAACACTGACTGACTGTGCTTTGTAAGAGACACAAGAAGGAGGAAAAATAGCTCTCCTGACTCATTAAAAGTTTTATAAATTTTAAAACTACATTTCATATAACAATGTGTTCTACTGGAGGAAAAAAATCCACACTTTTCTTTACATTCTTTCTTCTGCCTAAGAAACTTTTGACTTCCAATTCTCTACATGAAAAAGTGTTTCTGGTGGTGGTAGTATTTTCTCACAGAAACAGTGAATTTAGGCTCAAACTATTGATATTTTTTTTCTTTTACATAGAAGTCGAGATGTCATATCAAATTGATCTTACATCCCTCTTTTGTTCTACCAATATAATTTCTGAGCTCCAGCTAATAGTACTAATGTCACAGTTTCCCTTACTTTGTAAGACCTCCTTTAGCAAATTAAGGCTAGATAATACCAACCTGCTCTAAAATTATTAAATTTAAAAATAAGTAGTCATCATTATAATGTGTTGGATAAAGCCTTCCTAGAGGTTATCATGTTATTCCTTTCATTTGAGAGTGCCTACATTTGTCCATTGTCTTGCAACCACGCCTCTGTCAGAGAAAATTACCAGAAAGAGCTTCTCATTATTGTTCTCTTGAGGGATTGTCACTAGAGGCTTAAAAAACCTTATTTAGTCCTAGCTGTGGCAGGGCAGTTTAACTCAGAACTAACTTCAAGGTCTATAAAAGTGCATCACAACTGCCTGTGTGCTTTGATAGTATATTTCTGCTCACCTGTTGCACCATACTGAGATTATTTGTTCAGGCTGCTTTGGAGACTGCTTCCATGAAATCTTTTCCATTCTTCTCTTTCCCTATTAAATGAGGCCCCTTATCCTAACTACTCAGAATGAGACTTCAAGGCATGGAAATAAACTGTTTCCAGGTGATAACTGCTGCTGTAGAGCCATGATACAGGCTTAAGTCCTGTTACACTCCTCTGAAAACAGCTGAAGTAGGAGAGAAAAATATGAGAGCTAGAGAAATAGTGATAGACTGTCTGATATCCCTGACTGCTCACATGCACTGAAAGTTTATGGTTTCTAAAATGGATGGCAGGACAGAGGTGAATTCAAACATCTATGCACATGATGCATAAAGGCAAAAGAAACCATGTCAGTTATTGTGCAGCACTTAAAATCACCACATACAGGATCAAACAGATAATTCAAAATATAAGGCAATTTAGAATGAGGTGATTCTACAGTTCAGAGAAGCAAATGCTGGCATATTTACATACTGTGTTTATCAATGACATATAAGGATCAGTAATGATGCAGAAATTCCGATGTGTTCAGTAACGTTGATCCTACTTGTACATATTTGAGAGTTTTCCAGCCATAGGGGAAATGAAAACAAAGCACATTAAGAACTGAGGAAGAGAAAATTTGGCACCAAGATATCCATATCTTAAGACAATACAAAAGGTTGGGAAAGAAGAGTGACTTTGATAATGGTATGCTTGATCAAACACACACAAAGAAAATAACACAGATGACAGACAGAGAAAAGTACTAATTCCTGTCTCTGCCACACCTCACACACCTAAAAAAGAAAAAAAAAACTAAAAAAAAAAAAAAAAAAAAGCCTCCAAAGCTGTAATGTGTAGTATTACACACACTTTGTAGTCTCAACAGAGTTCTAACATTCTTCTAAATACTGCCAGCACCAGATGTAAAGTGAAAAGCAGTGGAAACTACTTCTGAATATCTTTTTAGTGGCTTTAAATTTTTTTCTTGTGATTTTTTTTGTTGTGGAGGCAGGTGTTAGAAAGACACATCTACAAAATGCATTAAACCCAGTACCAAGAACATATACAATCAAATCAGGAAGCATAACATTAAAAACCAGTAAAGGATATGTGTATTCTGAAGTATACATTTGGGTTCAATTACACCTCATAGCAATGAGTTCCATAATTTTGCCTTAGTAGTGATATTTACCCTCATAAAGGCAGTATAAGTAAATCTGAGAACAAACAGAAAAGCCAACACTAACACTGCAGGTCCTTTGCAATTTACACAGGTGGCGCTTACATCAAAGGCCAGATCCCATCCCAGTGTACAACTCCTTCCAAAATTCTGACTGTCCCCCTCTATTCCTAGTCTGTGAGCAGTTTTCCCCCATCTGCTACTAGTTACTGGTCACTTCCCACCTAAACTAACGTGATGAAAATAGCCTTGACCATGGCACTGTCTAAAACCCTCAATGACTCTGCTTTCAATATCTGTATCCCAGTTTTGCACAGTACTATTTACAAAAAGGGAAAATTAATGGTCTGACTTTAATTTCAAGGCAAAGGGATTGTCTAGGTGCTCATGGCTTGTAAAAATTAAGATGTGTTTCAAAATGTACTTGAAGGCCTCATCACATACAATTTAGTTATGATGATTTTAGGCTTGGCCCTTAGATGATGATATATGTGGTCTGAAGTGGTCAAAATACTGCTGAAGGCAGGAAAAGTCTTCCCATTCTTTTCTCCATTGCACTTGCCCAAAGTGGCTGGACAGCAATGCATCACCTGAGGGGTTTCATCCACAAGAACCTTGGGTTGTGCACACTCGGGCTGCTCTGGAGCACAAACCCACACATGGAATGCAGCCATCAGCAACAAGTTTGCTTTAAACGTACACTTTGGGAAGAACTAAAATTACATCCTCAATATTTCACTTCAACATTTAGTCACTTCTTTTCCCTGAAAAGTTACTCACCTGTAATTTAGCCAAAGGACCCTTGCTGGCCTTCAAACTAAAACAAGCATTGCTGTACCTGTTGATGCAAATAGTTGACCAGTTGTTTTTACTCATCCTTCACAGTTAACAAAAACTCAGTAATTTAAAAAGGAATAAAACTCCCAAATGTCAAGACATCTAGTACATATATTGAAGAATAAAGTCTTTTGTTCAACTAAACCTTTAAATATATATCAATATATACTGGTGGCAATCACCTTTGCCACAATCTCTGTTGTTTTTTGAGCCCTAAAATCAAGAGCCACACAAGGTTAGGTGATAAAATGTGGTTATGATTTTAATGAAGAACCCTCCAGATGCACAACACACTGAAATGCACACCAAAAATGCACCAAAGATGCACACATGATATAGGGCACGTAGAGTTTTATAAGTTTAGCAAATTAGCATAATTGACAAGAGTCCCCAATTAGAAACACAGGTGATGAATTCCCCCTCTTGGTTCACACCCTTTATAAAGCCCACCTTCCTTGGTAGTTGTTAATGGGAAAGTGTCTTGGGAAGGTTTCTTGATCTTCATTCCTATAAGAAGTGAGATTAGAACAGGCCCTTGGGATTTTTTTTTGTCTAATAGGAAAAGTACTGAAGTTAAGTAACTGTACAATTATATAATAACGGTCTACAGAGTATATATATATATATATATATATATATATATATGTATATATATATAAAAGATGCATCCACAGTGTATTAGACAGGAATTCATAATAATTCAGAAGGATGAAGCTATTATGCTTTACTATCTCTTCTGATAAAGAAACCTGAAGACATCTTTTCCTGGCGGTTGGAGCCCCCGGTATATAGGGGAATTTTTCTTCCTGCACTTCAGAAAGAATTATTCTTAGAGGTTAACTCCTAGGGTGGAAAGTCCATTAGTTTTACTTAGATGGCTTTTACCATATCTTTCTCATACCTTTGAAGATTACTCCTAGTACACAAAAAGCTTAAAAGGGTATTAACTGCCACCTAGGAAGAAATATTTGGGTTGGCACTGACATATATGTGGATATTTATAGAATACACAAATTTTGTGAAAACATGCACATGTATTAAGTGAACTTTTTGACCTGAAATTGGTTGTCCCCTAGCACAGCTGTAGGTGATCAGCAATACTTGCAATTCACATTACAGACTAATGTCAAAAATTATACATCCCGCTATAATTTGTTCAGGGCCAGAAAATATGCTTAGTAATTCTTTTCCGCAAGAATCAGGCTCAAGCATTGTGCTTCTGTTATTTGGAGGCCATGAGCTGACATACAAAGGCTTTGCAGGTAACCACAGGGGAGTTACAGGGAAATCCTAGCAAAAAGGGGACCTCTTCAAAAGGGTTGATTTTGTCCTCTGCTCACAGAATCTTTATAATGTGTCTGTCAATTTTTCACAAAACAGCCAATTACGTAAAGATTATCAGTTCCCAGTTTTGTGTTTTGTTATGATGCCTGGCAGGGGAATGGCAGCAATTTCTTCAAGCTTTTCCAAGCTAGTCTTGAGGGGCTTGTTTACTATCTCTCTATGGCTCTGATTAAAATAAATTACAAATAATTTCCATGAATTCAAACAATGCATGAGAGGGCCCTAAACACTTGTTAAAAAATTAAATTATCTGGAAAATATTGTAATGGCATGTTCATGCAAAAGCACATAGCAATTTGAAAGACAGCATGGATATACTAATTTCATATTTAATGAAGTTTTGTAAGTAATGATACAATTTTCTGGCTGCAATATGGCATACAGGGAATTTACTGTTAGCTCACAAAGAGTCATCCTGAGGCAAATATTCTTTCCCTAGGATAAGATTCACTCCAGAATTTATTTTAAGATGACATTAACTAAAGCTGAAAGTACAGAATTGTCACAGATACAAGAATATATTCAATGAATTTGAATCTATTTGAAGAAGAGGGGAAAATAATTAGTAAACAATGTGGGGTTTGCAATTCAGAATCTTATGAAATTATGTACATACTTTTACACATATAACTTTTCTACATTTCCAAATAAAGCTAGGTGCCAGAATGATTAAAGGCAAATCATCAGAACAATAGTTACTTTAAAATTTTAGAGACATGAAAATAATGGGGCCAAAAAATCCCATCTGATATGGCCATTTTTTTTGTTTTTCTCTTTGTGAGTACAGTAAAAAGTATCCTAATTACTAAATTACAGAATACAAGATCATTGTCCTGATTGTGAGCATAAACGTCATAGTCAGATGGAGGTGAGAGATATTTTAGGTACACAAGTAAGAATTCAGATCATTGTAGACAGCATATCCTCAAGTGTCAGAGCTAGGAAAGAAAAGCTTAAATAATGAGTCATGCCAACAGTTATCCTGATCCTACTAAAAAAAGGACTGTGTGACCCTTATGCTGAAAATCTAAAACATCAAGAATCTGCTGCAGCCATGAAAACAGATGAGGAACCAGTAACTTGTCATACAGTTGTTTCAAATTTTTCCTTTAGAGAAAATGAATAGCCAATACATGCGTCATGAAGTGCGGGGTTGTGAAACCAGTGACCTGAGGAACTTCTGGGAAAAGACCATTGAACAACAAACTCAGTATCTGCAAAATGAAAAAGAACGTCAGCGAAGAAGTGCTCTGACAAAGTGGGTAATCTGCATCTGGAAAGCTGACTTGAGTTTGCATTGTAATTATTTTTCTTTAAAAAGTAATACCAATACTTAAGTCATGCAATGAAATCTGAAACTAATTTAGATTTATAGAAAATAATAAACTTCCCAAATTAGGATGTATTGCTAATGTGTTTAAGCTATGACTTCATAGGATAGGAGAATAATTCACTTTGGTTCCATAAATGAGTTCAAAGCACAGAAATTTCTGAAATTACTAGGACAATTAACATTGCAGTCTTGTCTTGAACATAAAGGCTTCTGTTCAGAGCAAAGCAAGCACAGATGTGTAACTGGCCCACATTCTTACTCTGTGGTCTTGCTTTCACAAAAAATAGTTTGAATTATTTAAGATTGTTTAATTTGTGCATGGTAAATCCATTATAAAGCAAATGATCCAAACATACTGACTGAGGCAACCACCATCTGTGGCCATATCTACCTTATTCAGTCACATTCCCCTTGATCAGTCACTGTAAGAAAGAGCAGTCTGCAGCAAGATCAGCACAGTTTTGCTTCACATCAACTCTCCATTATTTGAAGACATATGCAAAGATATATACTTTTGTTATTTATTATATTTTGTCTTAAGGTTATCCAGTGAGAAAGCAATTTCCCAAAGCCTTCCTCACAATTCTCTTTGCATTGATACTTGAAAAATTAAGAGCAAGGACAGCCTTACATTACTAACCCTGGATGAAGGAATGCTAGAATTAGTCTCCAGCAGGTTTTATCCATTTGTGAATAACCTAATCTCAATGTTGCTGCTCCTCAACTGGGAAATTCCTCTCTTTTCTACTTGAGTAAGTCTTTCTGTGGTACCTAGATACTATCAAAAAGAAAATAAAGAACCACATATTACAGAAAGCTACCTGTTACATGTCTAACAGAAGCTTCAAGATGCACAGTTTCTCCAAGCTGAGCAGGACAGAGAAGGAGGGAGACTGGGGAAGAGCTGGGTGATGTGACCCAGCAGGTGGCAGCAGGCAATCTCCAGTGCAGGTGACAAATCACTCTGGCAAACAGGCACTCGAGAGAGGGCACACTGGAGATGGAGATGAACAACAAAGCTCAGGTAATCCCTCACTGGGATTTAAGAGCTTGTCCTGAAGTACCATCCAGCAAAGAGCTCTAAAGGTGCAGGGAAATTTGCATGACAATTGGGAAAGAGCACCAAAGAATATCATCAGTGGAAAAGATGAAAAGTATAAATCCATTCCGTGTAAAATTATGGGGACAAGCTGATCCATGTTTCTGTCCCTAGGCTCAGAAATGAATGGATGGAGAGGCTGGAAAAACGCATAAAGATGTTGAGGACCCAATCTGAAGACTCATCCAGCTGAAGAGCCCACACTCATGACAAGTTTGGGGGAAAATAAATCTGTTTTGTAGGAAAGCATGATGTAAAAGCTGAAGTCAGTTTTACTCTGTAGCTTAAATGAGCTATAATTAATTAGCTGTCATTGTTTGAAGTTTCATATGTGAAATGTCAATTGTTGCTTTCAAGATTATGCATCTGTCCCTTCATTTGATAAATGGAGAATGTAGCACTCTGAAGTATTTAACCCTAATAAATCATGGTTCGCTGAGACGTAGATGCCTGGGAAAAGAGTTTAGTTACATGGTTGTGCTCCGCAAAAGAATTTCCTCAATATTTTAAGCTTCTGTATAGACTGTCTGCAATGGAATGAATTTAGATGTTTTAATGAATAGTAGAGATTTTTATTTTTTACACAACACAGCCCAATGCAGGCTAAGGAATATAGGACATGCACAATGCCACCACATCCCACACCAGTAGTGAAGCCCAAACTGGTGGGAGCTACAGATCCTAGCTGCTAAGTTAGAAGTCACCTGTTAACTCGCTACCATATATGTATTGATAAACAGCCTCTGTGAGACAACTACAAGAGCTGCCTCATTAACCCACATTAACTCAATCAACCTTTGTTAGCTAACTTGAGACACTGTATCAGCATTGGTAGAATCTGGTGCCTGAGCTGGCTTGTCTAGAGGTGGATTGATACCTGTTTCACAGAGTACCTTGGTGCACTCACACAGCTGTCTGTCGTCATGAGAGACAAGCAGGTTTTTTCTTCTAGCACCTTTTCCCTCTAAGACTCAGTATTTATTCCTTAAAGACAAGCACTTTCAGAATTTAGCCATTTTCCTCTTCCGCATTTGTCATTAGTCAAAAATGTTTCTTGTTTCCTTCCTAATGCTTCATTAGGAAATGTGGCATTTCTTCCAGCAATATGAAAACATTTTAGTCAGCTGGTGTAATCACATCACTTCCTTTTTATGGTGACTGTTTGTTGCCACCAAATGATTAGGGTAATGTACTGCAAGACAGGTTGTTTTGAGCATGTTAAAAAACTCTTCCATGAATCACTTAAACTTTTAGTCCCTTTTTATAAGACTGTTTCATTACCACTCTGGAAATTCATATTACTTCAAAGCAAAGAAGATTTGAATTGCCAGTGAGGCAAGAAGAGAACAATAGAAGGGCTTGGAATTTTAAAATATGTAGAAAATCTGCTCTTCTTCAATCAAACAAAAATTTGAAGTATTATTTTTTCCCCCTCTTTATCTATCACCCTTTAAATCCACTTTTGTGCATCCCAAGGCCAAACAAAATTTATTATGAGAATTTGAACACGTAAATAATGCTTAGAAAGTCTGAGGAACTAATAAAATCATGAAAAAAATTATGACCTTGGAGCACTACTTCAGAATTCAAGGTGTCAGCAGGTAGGTCCCCAAACTTAAGAGCAGAGTTTGCCAGACACCAGAGAAAAGCTACTAAGCACATGTTCTTTGGTTTACTTTTATTCTTAAGCAATTTTAAAAGTAACATCAACTGTGAATATGAAGGATCACAGCATAATTACAATAAAGCTGTGCTTAAGAAAAAAATCACCAGGTAGTGCTACAACTTAATATTGGAATTCAGTAAAAAAGTAGATTTCTTTAAATGTCAGTTAAGTAGATTTCTAAAAATGTCAGTTAAGACATTTCAATTGCCCCATCCCCTGTCTATGCCTGGTGCTTACTGAAGCTCTAGTACAACACCATCATGAAACAGTTTGGGGGTTTACATCATTTTGGCTGAAATTAGAGCTTGAACTGAGCTAAGGGAAACATTTTCCAGTCTCTCATTCATTGTGTAAGTTATGGCACAAACAGGGAGGTGCAAAACAGGGAGTCAGATTTGGCATATTTTAAAAATTAAAGCCATAGCCCTGGAATAAGCTTTTGTTTGATTCCCACATAGTTTAGATCCTTCTTAGTATTCCTCTCATAAAGTAAATCAGAATGAGGAAAAACCATAGAGAGCTGGGAAGAAAATATGCCAGGAAGTGACTTCCATCCCAGTTCCTCATTGCACATGCACGGTTATTTTGTGACTAAAGGATGCTCTGGAAAAAGTCCATGTCAAGCTAGAACACTCCAAAATTATCTCTTTAAAATGACAAAAGGCAACTTATTTTTTACAGAACACATCTATTCCAGCTCAAAGCCAAGAGGAGTTCTGAAAATATGCTTCCAGAATTAAGTAACTTTCCTTTGAGCTTTATAATTCCACCTCTAGATTTTAAATTAATTATTTCAAGTTCAGTTTCCACGGTGCTAGATTCAGGACTTTGGGCCATGTAATCTTCATTTATTTGAATAGTAACAACATGTTTTGATACAAACTCCACCAGGGTAATGCAGGGGTAATCTACTTAAGAGTTTTGTAAATTACCACACAAGAAATAATACATATTGAGGAAATTAATATAATCTAGAGTTAATAAGCAAAAACAAAGAGTGTGAAAGCATGACAATTGAAATCTAAGTGTCAAGTAACCATCTTAGCAGAAGCTGGAGAAGACTCCAGGATGAAAGTGGTTCTGACAATTTCAAAACAAAAATATTAATCTTTTCTCTCCCTTGAAGGTCACAAGAGAAATTAAAAGGAGGCAAAAAACAAAACAAAACAAAAAACCCCAAACCACTGCAATATCTGTGAGACTTGGAAATAAGCCATGACATTATAGAAAGGACTAGAGATACATTACTGTAGGACTGAAAAACTCATCAACTAAAACCTGATAAAATCAGCTGGGTTTTATAAAATCATTATGGCTAGAGAGGATGCTTAGGTGCTCTTCAGACAATTTTCCACCAATATGCAATTTCAGAGCAGTGCATTATTCAACTAAACAGTTTAAACTTAACTCAAATGTTTATAGAATAGCTTCTTGAATACACACGTCATGTCTTTTGATTTTGGTTTTTTTTTTTTCTATCCAGATTTTCACATTGCTTTTGAGTGTAGCAGCAAAAGATTTTGAATTATGCCAACCTGATTTTATTAGCTTTGCAATTAAAATGTGGTAGATACTTGCTTGTCTTCCCAGCTTTTGTTATTTTGCCACTCCTTTGCTTCAGCTTGACACTGAGTAGCAAGAAAATGCATGTCACTTTCTCATTACAAATGCATGACACAAAACATTTTGGAAAAGCTTGCAACAGTGACAAAAGTTAAATGTAGTAAAACTTTACCATTCTCTGAAGCAAACACTAAACACTCACCACCCAGCTCCTGTCAAATAGAATTTATGGTAAGTATGCTCCATGTTAGCACGAGAGTGACAGATGCTCCATTTTAGTCATATTAATGATCCTCCTAGAGTATGGATAAGGGCTGACGGCTGTGAAGAATGACTCTGTCAGTAACTTAGCAGACTTCTTAGCAGTTTAGCCCAAACTGACACAGCTTAAGTACAGTTCTTCACTCAGGAATCCTTTCTGCTCAATATCTTTCCTTAACCAAGGATCTCCTCTCTCTAGGACTCTAATTAAGGACCAAATAAGCATAACACAGCCACTGCACCCAGATTTTGATTTTGAGCCATTTTCACAGGTCAAGCAAATGGGAAATGGTCCTGCAGACCAATGCAGCATCACCCAGCAGGCTGTCTTCAGCGTGACACCCAAAGGTTTGGCGCTTCCTATTACATAGCCACTTTACCTCTGTGCAGCTATGCCTCTTTGGGCTTCTAGGTACATTCATTGGAGAGGAAACTGATGTATTGGCCAGTTCGGAGGTGCTTGAAGTGGCCAGCAGTAAAATAAATCCTAAAATCATGCAATACCAAGTTCACTTCCAATGTTCTGTGTTCAGTATAAATTAATTTCAGCTGAGCTGTTTTGCACTCTAGAAAGGCGGACAGGCTACCTCAGACTTTGATCCTATACACAAGCAATGTGAAAGATAATCCCAGGCACATAGAGCTCACTGTGTAAACAGTACAGAAACAGTGGAGGGGGAGTGGAAAGATGGGCCAGAGCCAGGGGTCAGGAAATAGCCATGGTACCTGTGTTGGGTACAAAATCAAGGCCCAGTTGCTCTACATGGATAACATGATCCACTATGCAGAGCAGTAGCCCAGTGCTTCAGCTGGAACTGAAATCCATAGATAATTTCTTCTAAGAAACAGATCTGAAAAATAAAAGCATCCTGCACTGGTCCAGGAAAGGTGACGGAGCTGTGGTAAAATATACTGCATGTCAAGAGAATCACTATTCATGTACCTGGATTCTCACCTCTAAAGTTTGGAGGAGTAAGATAAATTTGGGAAGGGAAGTTTAAGACTAAGAGGTAATGTCTTTAAATAAAGAGTTTTGAGGCAATTTGGCTGATGGTCTAATGTTGATTACAGCTCTTACTGCTTGGAACTCATCTCTCACCTTTCCAGGTTACACATGGAGCCTCTCCCAGGCAAGTCTGCTGGTATCAGCCAACTCTTGTGCATGTTAACCACACATGATCTGCAGTCACTGCTCCACAGAAGTTACTTTAGAGATGAGTCTGGACCCTAAGTCAGAGCATTGTGTGAGTTTCCCTATACTCACATAAGACATTTCCGTATGATAAAAACTGCAGCCACCCTCTTCTTTCATGAAAACAAATGAGTTTTGGTCAAACTGACTTAACAGCTTATATGCAGGACTGGTAGTTCTCACATGGAGTTCTGAAGTTTCAAGGCTGATGAGAAATACTCATATCCGTTATAATATATGTCAAAATATTGATAGCTTTTTGAATGGCCTTTGGATTTATGGGTCTGACTTGAACGCCCCTTCAGATGAGAGCCCCATCATTCTGAGAATGGCCCTGTGTGTCAGAGCAACCCCCATATTGATACAGACTGGGGGGTGTTGTGCTTGAGAGAGGCCCTGCCAAGAAGGATTTGGGGATACTGGAGGATGGAAAAATAGACGTGAGTCCATGTGCATTTGCAATACAGAAAGTCAGCTGCACCAAAAGCAGTATGGTCAGCAGGGCGAGGGAGGGGATTCTGCCACTCTCCTCATTCTAGTACAAGCCTACCTGGAGCACTGCATCCAGCTCTGGGGCCCCAGCACAGGAAAATATGTTAGAGTGGGTCTAGAGGAGGCCACAAAGATCGTCACAGGAGTGGAGCTCCTCTCCTGTGAAAGCAGAGTGAGAGAGTTGGGACTGTTCAGCCTGGAGAACACTCCAGAAAGAACATGTTACAGCTTTTTAGTATTTAAAGGGGACTTGTGAAAAAGATAGAAGGAGACTTCCTACCATGGTCTGTAGAGACAGGACAAGGGGCAACAGTGTCAAACTGAAAGAAGGTAGATTTAGATTACACATAATAATGATTTTTTTGGTTTTTTGTGAGGGTCATGAGGTACTGAAACACATTACCCAGAGTGGTGGTGGATACCCCATCACAGAAAGTGTTCAAGGTTAGGTTAAACAGGGCTTTGAGTAAGTGGAAGATGTTCTGCCTGTGAGAAAGGTATTGGAACAGACGATCCTTAGAGGTAAATGCAGCCAATCTATGCATCTATGATGCTGTGATTTTCTGATTCTATAATTAGAGCAAAGACAGCACAGTGCCTGCAGTAAGAAGGGAAAATCAAGTTACAGTACCCAAAGACATGCTTTGTTGGTGAGCCTCCAGAGAAAACAGCTGTGCTACACTTACTTCACAGCTCTTTATGTTTAAGCCTTGCATTTGCAGGGCTCTGTTGACAACCTGCTGTCTATAGCTGCTGGTAGCCATTTGGAGAGTTAGCCCTTGAAGGGAAGGGTTTATAAAATGCTGTCACAGGTTACCCTACTTATATTTCGCAACTTACTCTTCTGCCAACAGAATTATTTTCTAATTAATAAGCATGATATCCTCAACCAACCCTACACAATTCACCCTAGAAAATTCACCCAACTTTTAGGATACATGTTACTAATGTGAGCTTACAGAGCATTACTTACAACTGAAAAACTCCCTCAGCCTTTCATCCTCTCCTTGTAACCATTTTCTTTTTAGTGAACACAGTGGACAAGACGTATGTAGCTGCTTTAAAAGCACTGAAGCACTTTCCCAGAGGCTTGTTTTCATTCCCATCTCACTCCTTGCACATATTCTTTTTTACAATCTCACCACTGTTCTGTGTCAGAGGATTCAGTGCAGTAGCCCTGAGGTCAGAGGTCACTGGTGAAGTTTACTCTGAGATTTGAGTGCTTTGTATTTGTGACCCTTTGTCCCTTCTCTGCTTCAGGAAGGAGAATGAACAAATCCACCAAGCAGACTAATAGCAACCTGCCAACACTCACTGTAGGAAATAGAGCTGGTTTTGAATTGCAAAACTGGTAGAGACTTTTCAAGCACTGACTGACTGCTTTAAAATGCACATACTATCTCTAAAAGCAGAAAGCAGACCATGTGTTTAAACAGTTTTTCTTCTCTTTATCCCAGGGTGAGAGTTTAATACCAAATTCTATCCCAGAACAAATTTTTATGAAGGATAATAAAATCTTTTGAAATGATGGGATTATAATAGAAATGCTGAGTCAGCCTTACCCATGGACAGGAAAGAACACTGCTGGTATAATTATTGAATGCAACCTATCATCTTCATGGTGCTCTAAGTCAAAAGGAAAATGAGAGATTTTGCATAATGCTGAAAATCTATAAGGGCTTTGATGTTACTCTAATCTTACACTAACTAATAGTTCATTTCATGTCCAAGTGATGTGAATGAAATATCATAACGTGCATAAGGTTATTATAATTAGAAAGTTGAGAGAAGAAGCCAGGTGGGAAAAAATGCTACCTCTATTTGATTTGATTTACCTAGGTTAAATCCTGTTGTCAGACTATTTAAGCAGTGTTTCATGATTTAGATAATCTTTTAAAGAGAAGGCATGGGCAGTCTATTGAAAAAGAAACATGAACTGAAATCAGCCTATCAAATCCTCATATTGTTTGCAGGTTATTAATAAGCAGACCAACACTGAAGGCCAAATCTTGTGAGAGTGTCTTTGCCCACAGTGAGCAGCTTCAAAGATGAGGATCAACTGAGTCAAAAGCAAGAGCTGTGGGACTCCATTGGTTGTGGAATAGTCCCATGTACTGTATCATCTGCCCAGCCCCAAAAAAGGAGCTCTGCAAAGGGTTCTTCAGTGCTCACTAGAGCTACACACATACACATTTGCATACTGAAATGGTACCAAAAGCCCTGGGCACCTGCATTTGGAATTCATATGCAACACAACAGCCCAAAGTCTGTCAGATTAACAAGGACAGGTGAGTTAGAAATACAAAGGGTTTTTTACAGCTCTTGTGGACCTCCTGACCTGAGAGAATACAGAGACCCTTTTATCCCAACCAATATACAGTGTGAAAAGGAGCAGCTGGACTCATGAGGATGCTGTACAGCACAGCCCCTCAACAAGAGAGCCTGTTTGCTACATGTCCATCTGTCAGTCCCCAGTCATTTGTTTATTGTAGGATTCTCAAGGAAAGCTTTT